ATATGGACTTACATCCGACACTTTCTGGTCCTTCGTTAACCTCATTAAAACTTTCGGCACCACCCTACTTGCCAATTTGGTTAACATCGCCATTTTTTCTTTCGTCATGTTCAATGGTGGTGACGTGATGATGCTGTCTGCCCTTTTCAGCGAGTGGACAAAGGCAAAGAAATCACCCACCAGGAAGATGATTCGGTCTTGGACCACGTAGACACGAGCGTTGTTCCGAGCGAACGCAAATTTGACCGGATCACTGTCCATTGCAATGACTGTACAAAAAACGCGAACCGTTACGAGTCCAACTTTAGTATACATTACGATGTAATACACAATTAACGTGTTAAATAATATGACAATATTTGTATTTTCATGTTGTCAGTAATACACCTTTGCGGCAGATAATGACCATTTGGATCGCGATCACACCGGAACCACAAAATGGGTCTATCACAGTAATCAGCGACTTACACCGGGATGCCATAAGTTTTGCTAAAACTTCTGGAGGCCCGGATTAAAGGGGCACTGTAAAAATCGTAAAATTATGAAAACACAAACGTAGCCGTTAATATACATAAAGACGGTCTGTCTTTAAAAAGTCTGTCTTACATACCTGGTTCTACCATGATGCCGTCGTTGAATTTAGAAAATTGTGCAAACCGATTTTCCCACAAATTGTAGGTGACGTTCGATTCCTGGGAATAGTACGTCGTATTAATTAAACATTGGAAAGTTCACGCAGATAATTATGTATATATTAAATAATATCCTGTCGATAGTATCGTGTTATATGTAATTGTTCGTTTAGTGTTACACTGTTAGCTACCGTTTTACTATGCTCGACTGTTGCGGACGGTCAGCAGCAAATTATTTTACCACCTTCAAGTTCACATGGTATTGAAAAGATAACATTTTTTTTTTTTTTTAATTCATTCAAATATACATGTTTGTGATTATGGGGAACAAATGTTGGTCCCGACAAATAAAAAGCGTAAATATTAATGTTCTATAACAGTGGTGGCCAAACTTTTTTTTCCTCGGGCCATAAAAAACAACTTTTTTTTATCGCGGGCCATAAAAAAATGCATTCTAAATATTTTTTTACGTAAATGCAAAATATTACAGTTATACAAATAAGTGCTGTAATATAGAAGACTTTCGCGGGCCAGATATAAAATGATTGCGGGCCGGAGTTGGCCCGCGGGCCATAGTTTGGCCACCACTGTTCTATACCACATTTCACACTAAATCGAGTCGTATCACGTTCGTGAAAAATACGCAAAATCCGGAAGGGTAAGGGATTTCGTTCGCGTTGAATATGACCGTTAATAATTAATGGTAATGTGGTTTCGCACTCACTTTGGCACGGTTTTCTTCCATTTTTGGTAGAACGTAGGGGACGATTTCGTCTTCGTCGTCACCGAATGGACTAACTTGTTTTACCGTCTCGCCGACACTCGTCACCGAGTCGACCGCGTCGCAAATCTATGCGGAATTCGCCTCTTCGTTAGATTTGGAGACGTCAGATGCAACTTCACCGGCGAACGGGTAAGTCTGCGTGCACACGTCAACGAACCTTACGCAGGGGTCACCGTACGTGAAGTCACGTTTGGCCACTCGAGCGGTGTCGGACACGGGGTCCGTTTGCGAGCCGCAATCCGTCAAGGCTGCGGGACCGGGAGCTATTCGACCACCGACGTCATCAAGGACCAGAGGACCGTTTCGCGGTTCTTCCGGTTGGGCACAGAAACCGTGATGCGCGAAACCTCAACGGGCTAATACGTGAAATGTACGAGCGAGATACGTTAAGAAAACCCGAACGGAGATTGAAAGATGTCGTAATGGAAATAGGACCTCGACCGTATGCGCCTTGGTCCTTTGTCAACCAGACCAGGAACCGTGACCATCCGCAGATGAAACAGAACGGAATCAATTGCAATCGCTCGTCGTCCCTGTCCATCTCGTGAGCAGGAGCACTACGGCGATCGGAACTGAAAAAACACATAAATATCATGCATCTCATACGCGGCGGCGCTCTCGATCGAACGTCGGATGCGATCATTTTTCGGCCGACCAGAAACGTAGTTATCCGTTCGCGGCGCGTTATTTTCGTACCGTACCTGGTGGTCAATCCCATTCCGTTGAGATGAGTTTTTGACGTTGATGTTGTTGATGAGATCACACTTGAGATACCTTGACAAAATGTCAGGACAAGAAATCGTTGTGCTGATACGCAAGACAATGTCAAATGTTATTGAAATCATTTACTCTCACATTTATAATTAAGTTGCAATATATTTGCCGCGTAACGTAGGTAACGTAGTAGGTTCGTGATCCATATTGTAAATGGCCAGTACAAAAAAAAATATGTAACATGAAATAAAATGTATTAGCTGAATAAAAAGATATAAAATGTTAATCTTTTAAACTAAACGTACTTCTCCATTTAGTTCTTCCTAAAATATTTTTTTATTGGGCGTATTATTCAAATTTGTTTATCTGTTGTAGGGCATGGAAATACAAAAAAAAAAAAAAAAAAATAAATAATTTAAACAAATAATGCTAAAAAAAAAATAAACGATTTTCTAAAACGATATAGAGAAAACAAAGAAACTATTTAACAATTGATTTATAAATTAACAAAAATATATTATATTATAATATGTCTAATCAATACCTCTGATAGGTTTTAACACGTCAACAGTGTTATATAGCCAGATGTATAATACGAATTCCACTGTATTATTTATATTATTAAAAAGTTACACCTGTAATGAAATGTTGAATAAACTATACAAAAAAATCTAAAAACTTCAATTCGTAATGAATCATTGGTTAGATACAATAATATAAAGTGTGTTTTAGAATAATTTTCATCAAAGGTTACGAGAATTAATGATATTTCTAATTTTCACTGTCAAAATAACGACACTACACATTATCATTCCTAACTTATAAAACGTGACAATATGTAATTTTTGATCTCCGGCACACGATTATCTTTTTTATGTAGCATTTTATACCGGTAGGTAAATTTTGCAAAACATAATACCGTGAAACAAATGTATAAAGCGTAACCTGAGACGTAGTTAACCAGCTTATTTAATCGTCGTGCTCGTCCGTTGCGCTACTACAAATTTATATGTAAGTTTTATTAAAAACGATGTTACCAGTGCGTTGTTGCAATTCTAGAAGTTGAAACATATCCGAACGTGAAAACATTCAAACGGATTAAACACACGTAATGGTATATTTTTATGACCGTCAAGAGTACTTGGTAAATTGTTTTTTTTTTTTTTTTTAAATATCATCGTGCTATTATTCCGCGTTATTTTCCGTCACATATCATTCGAAAATATTTTATTTCGTTTGTGTGGAATCCTTAGAGAGGGTGATAGAGACAGAGAGAAAGATAAATAATTCAAAATTACAGAGTTCAACACTTGGAACGTCGGAGACGAAACAATCATATTCTTCTGAAATGATTACAAGTCGAAATGTTTATGAAAAAAAATCGGTAGTACGCGAACGAATTAAAGATTTCAATTGCGTACGTTTCCACTACGTTTCCGCGTACAACAACACGTAGACACTCGAAATATTCCGCGGCACGCGGTGAACGTTTTCGTATAACGATGCGTTCGTTTTATTTTGTATTCGTGCCGATGCTCATTATTAAGCACTACGGTTATCGCGCCAAGACGTCTGTGTACATTGTGTTTTTATGCGCGAGTTACGAGCTGAACCCAGAAACGTCGGCTCGAGGATCACCACAAACGGTGACGTCTCTAAAACGCGATTTAGGAGTTCGCATCTCCCGGTGATAACCGGGTCGCGTGGAAATGAAATAAAATAAACGAAAACGCCGGACCTGTACGTGCGGTGGTTGCGCGGAAGGAGCGTCCGAGAAGCGACACGCCCTTATCCTTCCTGGCGGTCACGTTGTCCACCGGAAAACCATTACCGTGCAAAACTTCACCGATCCTTCGCGGTGTCCCGTCCGCATCGAAATTGTTTCGGGTACTCGAGCCGATCGAAATACCCGATGTGACTTTCTACACACTTTCTACGATTATTTGTTTGAGACTCACGATTACGTTTTGAGCGTAGCACGATATGTATTTGATAGAATCGAAGCGGCTGGTCTACATTTAGACTACCAACCAATACGGGCAACCCGTACCCTCGTCGAAAGAATTGCTTTAAACAACCGTTCTCGCCAACTACGTTATCTTCTCTCACCGAAATATATAAATATACAATACAAAGTTATCTTTTAAAGTTTATTTATATAAACTCCTACATATATCTGCGGTTCTGTTATTCAGCTATGGAGAGCAGCTGTTTCAGATGATCCCAAAAGCCGTCTAAAACGAACTTTGTGTCGCGATATTTTAACAAATTATTCTAATATTTTCTCAACTTTACTAATGAAACCCTTTTTTCCTTTTTCACCTTAATAAAAATTAAAATCTAAAAAAAAAAAAAGTCCTGTCCTTTAGTGTCTCCGATAGGTGGTACTTTAACCCAAGTCACTAGAGCCATACTATATCACAACTATCAATTACATACACCTATTGTAAATAATAATTACATATTGTGTATTCACTGAGTAAATGTTAAAGGAAAAAAATAGAGCGGCTGAAAAACATCTAAAATCTTATGCAATTTAGTTTAAATTCGTATAAAAAAATACCCCATTGAAACGCATGGAAAATTATTTGTAATATCTCGAGCTTAAATCAAAATGTTTTGTATAAGTAATGAGTAAACAATTTGTAATTTAAAATTTAATACTAGTCTGCATCGCAACGATAAAAACGGAATATATGTCTAAAACTCGCGTTTTTTTTAACACACGCATCCCGAGAGATTTAAAAGAAAATCAAATTTACCCTAAATAAGTCGATCGCTCTGTTACGCAACGCGATCCTTACGCGTGCCGTTGCGACGTATTGTGCAACTGTTGTTACTAATAATATTGTTCCCGTTGTTCTGTGCAGGCGATCATCATCGGTGTGCGGAAAGGTGGCACTCGGGCGCTGTTGGAGATGCTGTTCCTTCACAAGTCCGTGCAAAAGGCCAACGGCGAGGTGCACTTCTTCGACAGAGACGACAACTACGAGCGTGGCCTGGACTGGTACAGGAGGCGGATGCCGTACTCGTTCCCCAACCAAATCACCATTGAGAAGAGCCCCAGCTATTTCGTGACCCCCGAGGTAAAAAAAAAAATGTAAACGGTATACGTGTTTCATACATGTACGTGGACGCGCGGAGATGTGAAGTCAGAAGCAAGTTAACCACTACCCCTCACCGATTATTAGTATGATTAGTATGATCTTATCGCATAAAACTAGCTCCCCACCCCATCTAGCGGTTGGCGGACGAGAGGCTGCAAAACAGTCATCGAACAGACGTTATGTCTGGAAAATCTTTGGTTTTAAATTTCTATTCAGTTTTATTGCGACATTCCCAAAACTAATAAAATAAATGCACGTGTATTTGCGAACGTTCAATTTTTTAAGCTCATATTGTGTAGGTAAATTTGCATCGTAGTATAAACTACTGATGTCTTGTGACGACAAAAAATACTAAACAAGAACGCGTACCTGTTACTATTTTTCTACCACTTTTTTCAGTTTTCGAGAGAATAAGGCCACTTTTTCTGTCGACCGAACGCCCATAAAAAAATTTTTTAGGTAACTAAATCTAATACTGGGGTGTTTAAGTGGTTCTGTTTCTGATCTGTTACTTGATAAACAGTGCAGATGGTAAATCTTGCGCGTGCATGTTAATTATCAAATAAATAAATTAGCGATATCATCATGATGCGGAATAACGTGTGATGTACAATGCAGATTCGTCGATTATCTTAAATGATTCCGATTTGTAACAATTGATTATTATTTTTGTAACTTATATCGCGCTGAAATTTCTGAATATTTTATGTACCTCGAGTAAAATTACAATTACAATAAGGAATTTCGAACAATTTGCAATGAACCAACAAAAATCAAATATAATTATGTCGACCAAACGATTTGATGTGGAGGAGTCTGCGAGCGAACGGTCCACTCGTCCATTCAATTTATCGTCACTACGTTGATGGTAAGTGCTTCTCGTTACCGGATAAATCCAAAGGTGATTTGACATGGTAATACGTTTGATGTCGGAATATTGACGTGACGAGGCGAAGACGTCGATTTCTCCAGAGGTTAATCTAACGGTTAGGTCGCGCGCGAGAAGAGCTTCAACTTCACTTGTTCACCGTAACCGATGTCGAATTCATAAGACCGACGAGGTGCGATCGCTGACGTAAATAAATGAAATGAATTTCGCAGAAAAAATCTTCGGTGAAAATATAACGATTTATTTTGCGCCTCGTATCGCGGTTGACAAATATTTTGCATTTTTTTTTTTTTTTTGTATTTACTTCTACGTGCTCAGCAATCGTTACGAAAGTGTTGCTTATTGCGTTCGTTTTACACGCGTTGAATGAGTGTCGCTCGATTGCGGTCCAAAGTGATCTTTTTCCCGTTTTACAAATCCCGGCCGCGGCCCGTACAAAGTAGGTAAGAAATACGGTTCTCATAATATGATTTTACAACCGAATAAATTACCGAATCCACCCAATGCGTTTTGATTTAAATAAAATGCATGCGCGGTCTTATATATTCAGTGCGAATAGGGGGATTTCCAGCACGTTGAAGATAAGAAAGCCGAAAAACTGCAAAATTGCAAACGTACTTTGTAATATATTGCGCTGTTATTTAAAGCGTTTTAATGCAATGGACATTTTTGAAATGTTATGCGAAAAATATAAATTAATAATAGCAATGTTTAATTTTAAATTTTACTTTCGTAAAAATTTAGCAAATTAAGTAGAAAAATAGTGCTGTACTAATAAAATTTGTAAAAGTTTAGTTAAATGATACAACGAAAAAATTGTAAAAAGCGAAATTTAATTTGATGTGAACGATCATGATCACGAAGGAAACACTAAACAGACATTGAAAATCAAAGTATGTGTAAGGATATTAAAAGTAAAGCTACTGAAAATATTTACGAGAAACCGTCAAAATGAATCCATAGGTGCGTTAAAAGAAAGAATACGTTTTCAAATGTACAAATCATGTACGATTGAGTTGACTTATTTGTTGGTAAATATTTTACGTTGCACATTATAATTATAATTCGTATTAAAAGTAAATGCGTTATATTTTGAACCAATGCCTGTCCGATCGCGATCTGGATGCTGATATTTGTGACGCAAAATGACTACCCAGTGTTTTTGGCCCGCTATCAGACGCTGTATGGACCCGTTTGAACGCGGCGGGTTCAGTGAAATGGGGTCGATTGCACGGGTCATGAAGGGTCACTCGATTTGCACGGTAAAGCTGTTTACGCGAACCGGCTGATACGTAGTAAACTCTGTTATATCGCATCGGATAGGGTTTAGGAATGAAATTACACTCTCGTACTCGATTTCGTAGACTCGTTTTCTTTTTCCGTTCGGTAAAAAAAATAAATGAAAAAAATAACCTCATGACGATAATACAACGTCGCGTGTATAGAAACGATGCGGATTCGCGTACAACGACGACAACAGTCGGTGTGGACACATTGGGTTTGTTTCGAACAATTCTTTTTTTCGATTTAATGTTATCCTCTGCCGGACGATACGAGTTTATTGTTTCGTAGCTGTCATCGGGGGTTGTTTTTTTCCTCGAAAACGTTTAAGATAACCTTTTGAAACGATAACGATACAATGACGTTAATATAACAGATGTAAAGCACTAGCGGCAACGCCCCGAGTTGATGTAGTGGCGAGTCAAGTGAAATATTTAAATAAGTCGCAGAAAATACGCGTTTCAAATACATTTATTCGTATTTTATTCCGCGTGCAAACCATTGTGGACGTTATGCACATCGGGTCGTATGTTTCCGAGTATCAGTTGTTTTCAAAAGTTTTATTTTTTTCTTTCCACAGCGGTACGTCGTTCGACAAAACGTTACACATTAAAACCCGGAGGACGAACAAACAATACATTTTTCGAGGGTCTAACCACCGTCGCGACGTACTGGCTAGAATCAAACTAATGAACGTATACATATCGTGACACTATTGCTAGCAAAAGTCGCGTACGTGTTGAACGATTTCTGCACATGAAGTTTTACCGAAATTGTTTTACTCGTCCGCTAACGTCATCGCATCCGAATGATAATTGTTTTTTCTGCACTCGTAATAATAATAATAATAATAATAAACACTGGAACGGATCGAAATCAATGCACAATATTGAGAACGGCGAGTACAACTATATTATACGTGCACGCCATATCGTAATACCATCGTCAACGCTGGTGTACGAGCTTGTTTTGTTCTCATTGCCGTTTGATTTTTTACGTTCAAACGATATTACGCAGAGGTGAAACTAGGAATTTTTACGATCGGGGAAATGTGAAAATTACGCCCCATCACAAACCAATAATCAAATACTTTTATCGAGAATTTTTTTCTAATAATTAATATACAATCATACTTATTGAGTTTTAACCTAATAACAGTATTTGACAAAGTTAAAAATATCAAATTAACTGTTAATAATTACAAAAATTACCCCTTCTAAAATTGTACACCCGAGGATGAATCCCCGTTATCCACCCCCTAGTTCCACCACTGATATAACGTAAATGGAATTTAATAATTTGCGAACCATTGAATTTCCACCCGGTCTCACGGTACTCGCTAATAACCACACGAGTGACTGTTCCGAGTAACTGCACGAACTTCGAATCGACCTCCACGAACTGATTGGAAGCAGATCCGTTACGGGTATATTTGCAAAGCTTAGCGATTACGGATTCACGTGTCGTTTGTTTACTAACTGATTATTCTTGATCAATCTCGATTACTCCGGAGCCGCGTGGGAATTGTCTCGATCATGTACGAGTGCGGTTCGGCTCGTTTTGATTCGGAACACATTACCGCCTTCTGGGCAATCAAATACTCGTGCATAATTATAGCACGTGTCTAGGCCCACACCACTCACGTGTGTCAACGGTTAATTTAACCGTGAATAATAAATAAATAAATAAATAAATAAATAAATAAATAAATAAATAAAATAAATAAATAATTTATCGTGTACACTTGCGGATGTTTAAGGACCGACTTTGTACGAGCGTCATACTTTCCAGGATTAATATACTGCACTACACAGCCACGACCTTATCTTAGAATTTATTTTTAACGTCGTTTTTTTTAAAAAAAAAAAAATAATAAATTAAACACTACGTATTCTCGTAGCGAAACGTCGAGAATTATAAAAAGTGTTTCTCGTTCTGAGAAAACTTATAAATGAAGTAAAAATGCTCCGGTAGTGTTGTTCGTACACAAACTGTTCACGATCACTTTCGCAGAATTTGATAAATTGCTTTTGTGCTTTTAAAAGCTAATAATTTGTAACTATACATTTGTAATCCCGTATTGTTATTCACAACGTAATACCGAGTTCCATTTGGGATCGTTTCGAACGTAACTCAAAAGTTCATAGCGTGTCAGGAAAAAAAAAGAACACCATTTCATAACCATATCGCACATTATGATTGAAACGAATACCAAATGAGCAAGATTCTCTAACCAGACGTATTGTTTTCATAACATAATGGTCTTGAAGACAATATTTAATGCAAATCAATCAAACACGGTACGTGTAAAGGTATCGATAGATAGGTTATACGACATAAATTAAATTAATGTTGTGTCGTTTTAAACGACTTATGCACGTATAATGTTTACATCTGTGTCGCATATACTTGACAAATTGTCAAAACGATATTAAAACTTACATAACGTATTTAAATATACATTTATACATTTGCACGCGTTCTCACACGTTTCTGCTGTGCATTTTCAATCGTAATCGTTGTATAAACAAGATTTTAATGCGCATTAGAAAGCCTCGAACATAAAAATATCTGTATTTTACACATCATTGAGATGCACATTTTGTGTGTTCCGTGTACTAAACGATTTCTGAACAGTATTTCGTTTTGTAAATATTTCAAACATCGTTCAAAATAACTGTAATGCAATATCGGTCTTGAAGTCAATTCGTTGACAGGATGTTACTTTGAAAATAAAAAATTACAAAATAATATGTACCATTGTTTTTGTATTACTTTTAAAAAATTCGAACCCTCGCGTACTCAAGCC